TGCCTCCATGAAAAGTTTAAATTCTACGATGGTTGTAAACATTCTGTACAGTACCTGGAATAAAATGACTGTCTAGGAAATATCAGAGATCATTTTTATTAATATATTTTCTGGTTCCTCAAAAGTAGATATTAAGGTGGGTATACTTGTTAGACTGCATGATAGAGTCTCTTTAGCAAAGGCTTGTTTCTAATAGACTTGATGTATTTTGAACTCATGGGTAGGTAAGTCTGTGCCATCGTTTTTGGCCGTTGTGCCGGGTTACCGTCTTTTGATGAGCAACTATGCAATGATCATGAAATGAGCAGGACTGACCACCTCAGTGAATGTTCTACTGGTCTTCAAAGATGTGGTCAAGGTCTTTATGACCAACTCAACAATAACCAAGGAAGCCAAGGAAATGGAAAGCAGTGAAAGCCAGTTATGGAAGTAGCATATTTTGCATCAGTTACAGAGCTACATAGACTCAGATGCCTTGTTAATTTCAGCAACTTCTTAAAATGTACTATCATGCATGAAGTGTAATCCCAATAAGCTACTTTTGGAGAGGACTATATAGATAACTGGAACACAACAGTATCCGTTCCAATTTATATGTCAGAATATTTCTTCTTAAATTTATATTTAAGATTATTAAATATCTGTAGTGTGGCACCACAAATTAGTATAAATGATTTCTTCATTCTTTGGATGTTTGTTCTCAGGAAGACAATAGTGCTGTGATGGAGAAATGGTTTCAAAAAAAATTTTTTTTTTTCAACGTTTATTTATTTTTGGGACAGAGAGAGACAGAGCATGAATGGGGGAGGGGCAGAGAGAGAGGGAGACACAGAATCGGAAACAGGCTCCAGGCTCTGAGCCATCAGCCCAGAGCCTGACGCGGGGCTCGAACTCAAGGACCGCGAGATCGTGACCTGGCTGAAGTCGGACGCTTAACCGACTGCGCCACCCAGGCGCCCCTGAGAAATGGTTTCAGATAGAAACTTCCACAATGGCGGACACAGGCCATCCACATTAGGGCATATCAGAGATGAAAATCATGTCAGAAATTTTGATAGTTTGTAACTCACTAACTTCTGAAAAATACATACAAAACACTATTTTTAAAAATCCAGCATTTATTGATTCATCTGTTATGTGCCAAAACGGAGCTTTTAGCAATTCCGAGCTGTTCTCAGAAACAAGGAGACTTTGCTAAATACATGCAGTGCCTAAAGTTTGGTCTTTGCGGAGTTTAACATGCACAGCTGGGTCTTATTATTGGCACCAGTGGAATTTGTAACACTCTCTATTTTATAACACTTCCACACCTACTTTTACCTTATAAGGTAAGATCCAAACTCTAAATGTGTATTATACACAGGCCTATATTTAGCAGCAAAATGATGATTTTTGCAAGCCAAAGAGAAACAGAAATTCTGCCCCCAGATGCTGTTTTTGACAAGCAGCATCTAAATAGTTGCTGCCCAATGTCATGGTAGTTGATGACTGAGATGATTCCAGCCTGTTTTCCTACAGCCACTATGTAAAGCCAGATTTCTGTTTTGTAACACAACATGGAAAATACTTACATGCATAACTGAGACTAAAATAAGATGAAATTTTAAGTACCATAAGCACATTGATGAAGTGGCTAGTTTCATTAGACTTTATGTTTAAAGTCATGACCCCAAATACGACTCTCTTCACAGTGTTGAAGAATTTCTCAAATTTTTTATAGCAAGTCCTATTCTTAAAGAGCCCCAAACCTTTTAATCAACCTGATTATAATTGACATTCTTGGAGAAGCTTTCTGACCCGTCCGAGTTTCTTCCTCTCTGGGAACTTTCTTGGACATACAGGGTGAGATCCCCCAAGTGTCCACTGTGTACCATATGGCCCAGACTTGGTGGCCATCGGTGACTGATGGGGAGAAGCAAGACCTAAGCTGTCCTAACAATGACTCTCACAGTGTCGTTGTGGTTGTTGTTGTTGTTGTTTTGGTTTGTTGTTGTTGTTTCGAATAGATCAGGGAGATAATTTTCTCATAGGAGACCTTGGTAGCTTCCATCAAATGACACCAGTCAGTGCACAATTAGGATAATCTAGCCAACTAGTCAAGAGCAGTGGGGAAGAACTTTTTTACCTTTGAGTTTTTCCATATGGCTTTTTTGAAGCCTAGAAATAGCCCTCCCTTTCCTTAGATTGGGCATAGTGAAGTCTTCTTTCAAAATCAGTTTTGTACAAAATCACAAAACTACAAAATTAGTTTCAGCGTGGCTGAATTACTATTCAACAAATATAATAATCCAAATAGTTATGACTGATGCAAAAATCATGAGTAAGAGCTGTAATAACTCCCTATGTAAAATAAATCCTATTCTAGTACTTGTCTCCTCTTACTCTAATTATACTTCTATTTGATTGTCTATCCCACTCCACTAGAATATGAGCTTACACAGGTAAGAGCTTTTTCTTTCTTGTTCATCACCAAATTCATGATGCCTAGAATAGTGACAGGTGCATGGTAGGCTTTCAGTAAATATTGGTAAGTGAATAAATTGCCTAAATTTAAAGGTAGTATCCATTAGCATATCTCTTTTCTGGGGGTTGGGAGGAGGTATTTATCTCTGAGAAATATTAGTGGATTAAAACCGAATGTGTGTGTTTGTTGTGATGCTGGGTTGCCCTAGTCGGGAGTCGGGAGTGCCAACAGGCAGCACAGCAGGGGTGGCATATGAATGATAGCTTGATTACCAGTTTTTAAATTACATTTCGTACCTGGGGGAGAAATGCTTTGTTACACTTTTTCTTTGTAACTTGTCCTTTATCTAATAATTATTTTCTTTGATGCTTAAGTTCCTAAGAAAATTCTTATTCAATTGGATCTAATTCATGCATTCATTTCGCTCATTCACTTATTTATCATTCTGAGTGTCTGCTGAGACAATTTTGAGTGTCTCTTGGGCCCATAATTATTCATGTAGCTGTTCCTGATTAGATGCTACTTCTTTACCTGCTTCCTTTCACATCTTTCTCTCTGCATCTACTCTATGTTAGAGAACATGCTCTGCCATTTGGGGCGATCATTTCTTTTTTGTTTGTTTTTAAGAAATTATCTTTTCATCTTTTTTTAAAGTTTATTTTATTTATTTTGAGAGAGTCAGAGAGAGAGAGAGAGAGACCACAGGAGAGGCAGAAAGAGGAAGTGAGAGAGAATCCCAAGCAGGCTCTGCACTGTCAGTGAGGAGCCTGATGTGGGGCTCAAACTCAAGAATGAACCATGAGATCATGACCTGAGCCAAAATCAGGAGTCTGATGCTTAATGGACTGAGACATCCAGGAGCCCCTGGGGTGATCATTTCTTATCTGGGAAAACCCGGCTTGAGAAGAGATTCTACGGGGTCCTAAGTGCTTTACACAATCAAAAAACCAATAAAACAAATGTAACTAGTTATAAAGATCTCCAATTATTATAGCTAATAAACCACACACAGATAGTTTTTGTTTTTGTTTATTTTTAATATCACTCTGTTTTCTGAACTTGGGCAATGGTTGACTAGCCAATCAATGGATGCAGTTCTTATAGACCCTTCCTCCCCATCTCTTTGTTTTAATTATATATTCAGTAGATGAGTGTTAACTATCCACATGCCCCATAGGAATAAGATGATGAGGCGAGCATGGTCCAGGCTGCTCAGGAGCTGAACTGTACTAATGTGTCCTTGGTTGTATCTTCATATCTCTGCTGACATTTTATGTTGGAACACTTCTCTCTTGGTTAGAACCTTCCAGACTCCCATAGCCATTAGGTCTTGTTTATTTCATAGGTTTGACAAGGATTTTTCTGTTTCTTATTGTTGGCTGTGGGATTTTGACACATGTTGAGTTAGATGATGCTTCTTTCCAGGTCTTAATTATGTGTATTCTTTGATCACTTACTAGAAAGTCAATCTATCTCCACGACGATCAATTTACATAGTGCTAATTATGTTCATATTTGGGAGTGTCTTTGTTATACCCTATATTTTAAAATTTCTTTTGGGATTTTTAGGGGCTCCTGGGTGGCTCAGTAGATTAAAGGTCCAACTCTTGATCTTGGCTCAGGTCACAATCACATGGTTTGTGAGATCGAGCTCCATGTGGAGCTCTGCACACTTGCTCTTGCTCTCTCTTAAAATAAATAAATAAATTTTAAAAATAAATAAATAAATTTTGGGGGGGGATTTTTAGATTTTGAAGGTTTTATCTGTTTCTTCTTTACCTGTGGTGGAAAATATGTCCAATCACAAATGCAGTGCCTTTGATCAAGGTCCACTAGTGAAAAGTAGGTGACTATGTTTGGGGTGTTAGGAGGGAACAGAGACCTGATGTGCCACAACATTTTGGGACATAAATGATATTTGAAGATTCTGGCCTTCAACAGAGATGCCAAGAATTCTACTGTCATGGAACTCTTGTGAAAATTCCTACGAAGACTTACAGTAAGTAATTTTCAGATGGGAATTTACCTCATTATTTTATTTTATTTTATTTTTAAAATTTTTAAATGTTTATTTACTTTGAGAGAGAGTGAGCCTGAGTGCGGGAGGGGCAGAGAGAGAATTCCAAGCAGGCTCCACACTGTCAGAACAGACCCCAAGACAGGGCTTGATGTCACAAACCCATGAGATCATGACCTGAGCCGAAATCAAGAGTCAGACTCTAAACTGATTGAGCCACCCAGGTGCCCCATCCCTTATCATTTAGGATTTATTTTGAATTCTCAGATCACACACTACATAGATATGACCCACAATACAACTAGATTCTTTCCCAGACACAAAATACAACAGTAAATTGTCCTTGACTTACAAACATTGAAAATAAGATTATTGAAACATCTGAACAGAACAAACACAAAATGGCATGGAATATCCTCTTATAAAACAAATATTTAAAGAAATATGCATGTAAGAAATATTTGGAATCTGGTCAGTAATCCCTATCTGATTAAGAAGACTTCACCATGATCTTATCACTACTATCCATCAGCATGTTTGTTTATTAACTCACCCTGAAACATGTCTTTGTGCCAAATCTTTGACACGATTAGGATTTACCTCCCAAGTCTTCAGAGTAATTTAGCATCAAACTCCCTTCAGACTGCTTCTTGGATTGTCTGGGTTACTTAAATAGATGACATTTGTTTGCACTTCTGAGTATCTGATCTTTAGTACTTTCCCAGTATCATCTCTGTTCTTTCTTCTAAGAGCTGCTTTCTCAGTATCTAAGAGACAAAGGAAGAAAATTAGAGGAAGGAACCACATGGGTTTTCTCTACCCTGAAAATATAGGATTATTTGTTATGTCTCCTTGAAATGAAGTAATTTCCATGTTATTAAATAGGAGTTAAATATCCTGTCATCATCTAAAAATAGTTATCTCTTTAAATATAATGGTTAGGGTAGTAGCTCGGACCATTCAATAAGAGCTCTCTTTAATTAAGAGACATTAGATCACAAACTAATTTTTATTCAACTGTGTCCTGAAAGATTTGATTGTTTCCTTTATGAAATATAAGACAAAATAATATCCATGTCCAATTTTAAAATACAGACATAACTATCTTGGTGAATTAGATTATCAGAAAAATGTGAAGAGAGAGCCAGTTGAGAATAGGGTAGGAATAGATCCAAAGGTAGGGACTAAAGTATTGAAGTTTAGACACTGTCTCAGAAAAGGAAGGCTGAAGAGGGTACAAACATGAGGGGATGAAGCCAGGATTGGGGGGACTAATGATGCTCAAAGATGCAGAGGATTCTGCAGTGAAGTGGGCATCAGAGACAGCTTGACCTCTTTTGCAATCTTTTCAGTGTCTCTCCCTGGATCCAGTTTATCAGAATATACCTACATACTGACATATGAAAAAGACATGAGGATAACCAATCAACCAATTTCTGTTGCTTATTTAACAAGGTTTATTTTTAAAAATAAGAGTAGAAATATTTCCATTTATTGAGTGGGATCTCAATGATGTATCAGTCGCTTAATTTCCTTATGTGTATTGCTTTATTAAAATCTTATTTAAAAAACACAATGAAGTAGGTATTTCCCCAGCATTAAAGATGTAGAGACTGATGCTCAGAGAGGGTAAGTCTGTGCCTATGGCCATAGGGCAAGTAAGTGACAGATTGAGAACCTGAGAACAAACCCGTCTGACTCCAATCCCATGCTCTTAACCAAATGTTTTGATCATACTCACATTGACACTACATGTCAACGTCTGTTCATGGCTTCCTTGTCTGTCTTCCACTGACATCCTTATTGGAAAAGACAATGAATAAAATCAACACCAAAATTATTAAGTGAATCTTTCCAATGATTGATGTTGGTCAAAGCGTTTTTTTTTTTCAATCATTTTTTAGACAGGTCTTAACTTTAATGTTATCATTACACAAATTTAGAATTAAGTTCAAATCTTTCCAAGATTAAAACAAATGAATAAATCAGAAAGACTTTTGGAAAACATCCAGTTGTCATAAATCTGTCATGACCAACTAAAGGATACAGCACATTAAAGAAGCAAACTTTCATGTTTTGCCAAGCATTAAGACATGCAAATTTCTCTTGTGCTGCATTATGTACATTTAAGAAATGTTGATGACAGGGCTATTTTAAAGGCTCTGCAATATCCTTTTTTGGAAATATTTGTTTCTGTAGCAACTTCAAAATGCTAACAACTCGTATGCCGATTTTAAAACACTTATGATATCATGCAAAAGTTGAACTTCAAAATTTAACTTGTGAAACATTTGTTCTGGTGGACAGAGAACTAGGCACATTTCATTTGTGTGACCTTTAGCAAATTTTCTAATCTCTCTGAGCTTTAGTGTTATCACTTGTATATTTGTCGAAACAATACCTTCTTCAGAAATGTGTTGGGAGGATTGAATGAGGCCATGAATAAAAAAATGCCTTGTACATTGTCGATGCTCCATGATGCCTTTTGTAAAAAGTTGTTGAGAAAATTAAATGAATAATGATGCTAACAAATTTGCACACAGTGAGGACTCAACAAAGGTATGTGTTTTTCTTCCCTAGATATTTTAAATTATGATAGCACACTGGACTTAAAATTCTCATTCACAGACCTATGTTCTTCTAGAATGCACAACATGCTGGCACTGACCATTCGTACAGCTATTTATTCATTAATTTATTCATGCATTCATGACATGTTTATTGATTAATCACTAGATTTCAGGTATGTCTAACATTCAGACAAAAACTGACATATCGGTAAGTTTTTTCCTATTTATTGAAGCTATCTAGATAGTCGGGAAGATGCTGACTCAAACCAATTGAAAAAGGAAATTGAGAATGGAGGCAATTTCAGAAATATTATGATTAAGCCACATTATGTGTTTTCTAAGTCATATAAACATTTTCTTAACAGACTCTTAAATTACCCTTAAATTATTTTGCACAGCTTAAATTAACGGATAATATTAGTTGAGCAAGTATTAGGCGATTGCAAAGATCTGCCTGATAGGAGTTGTCATTGCTCTCATAAAAGTTCTTTCTTTGATGGAAATGGTTAGCCTACCATTTAAGGCAACATCAGTCTAAAATACAAATTGATTCCTGACTTAAGCAACTGCTACATATTGTAGTTATTACAGTCTATTTAAACACTCCTTCTCTTACAAAAGCTATTCTTTGATTTAACTTGCCTGAAAATGTATAACACTCTGTCCTGTACAGCAATATTTTGCCATGTGGATACAGTAATTGAGAACAATGATTTACCTAAATTATCTCTAGTATACAGTCAGACTTGAACCTATTAGATTATCCATCTCTCATCAGATTAAATGTCTATGTAGGGCCTTGAATGTTGTTAAAATCCATGGCATTAAAGAAATCTGTTTGGAGTAATCTCCATAATGGAGGCTTCTTACACACTCATGATTTCATCTCTTTCTTTATAATCCTTGGAACTCATCTATTGCTTTACTGAAACTCTTGCTTAGTCTAATTAATTTTTCATGTGAGTTTACTGAGGTAATTTTTGCCAGTTTAAATGTTTCCCAAATAGTACTGCTTTTGATTTCAGTGAAACTTCAAAAGATATTTCTTAGTTTTACTGTTCTAAAATTTAGTCACTCAGCCATGTTTGCTCTATTTAATAACTTAGTGGTCTTAAGCATTTTTATCTCATCCTCTCATCCTCTTCTCAGACTTTATCATTCTGGATTTATGATATCTAATTTTTTTTTTTAATTTTTTTTCAACGTTTATTTATTTTTGGGACAGAGAGAGACAGAGCATGAACGGGCAAGGGGCAGAGAGAGAGGGAGACACAGAATCGGAAACAGGCTCCAGGCTCTGAGCCATCAGCCCAGAGCCTGACGCGGGGCTCAAACTCACGGACCGTGAGATCGTGACCTGGTTGAAGTCGGACGCTTAACCGACTGCGCCACCCAGGCGCCCCTATGATATCTAATTATTTTTGGCCTTTCCTCACAGAAGCCTCAATTTCCCGTTCATTATCTTATCTTTTCTTCCATGGAATTTTCCAGCTTCATTATTTGTTTGTTTGTTGACCCCAGCCATCAGAAATATATCCAATATTCTGGGTTATGATACAATATGTTTTTGTTTTTGAATAAGCAAATAGGTTTTTTTCTAGAAAACTTCTAGAAATATTCCTTCAATTTTTTTCTAGAAAGTTTCTAAAAAGACAGTTACCAGCACTCTGCTAAATTTCTGTAATGTAATTCTTTTCTTTCACATTGAAACAAATTTGGTGGAGACACAGGAAATTTCAGAAAACCTGAGAAAGTGAAATCCTGATACTCACCGGAGATGGTCAATCTCAGGCTGCACGACCACTTAACAGAATCTAAACAGTGCTCATGGAGCAACCAGTCTTATTTACTAATCATTAATTAAACAGACTACAAAGTGAAATCTCTAATATTTCAAATTCCCTGATCTTTGGATGCTGAAAGGCCAATCTTATGAGAGTAAACTTTGAGAAGATTTACCGGGTTATGTGACTGAATAGAAAGACAGCAATGAGCCTCAGCGTGAGTAATAATAACTCCAAGAGTAATATCACTCAAAGAATGTTAGAGAATTCTTGTCTCTGGATGTTGAACCCATCTACAATAGAGACCTGATTATCAGTAGAATCCATTCCCTGTCTGTATTCATCTCACACGTTGCTTTCGACATGTTGGAATTCCTAACTTTGAAATGATATAACTCAATGAGCCTTAGTAACTCACTGTTCCCAGCACAAACATGATATCTTTCCTTTATGCATTAGACTGATAATTTTTTTCCTACTATCTATAAGGCACCATGTATAAACTACTTCTTGGAAGAAATTAGGGGGGGTCTGGGTGGCTCAGTTGGTTAGGTGTCCAACTTCAGCTCAGGTCATGATCTCGCATTTCATGGGTTTGAGCCCCACGTCGGGCTCTGTGCTGATAGCTCAGAGCCTGGAGCCTGCCTTGGATTCTCTCTCTCTCTCTCTCTCTCTGCCTCTCCTCTGCTCATGCTCTGTCTCTCTCTTTTAAAAATGAAATAAACATTAAAAAATATTTAAAAAAGAAGAAATTAGAACTCACTTTCTAGAGGAGATGAAGTTGGTGGACCTGAATTTAAATAAAAGGCAGAGTATGTTAAGGGCATAATAGAGGTGTAAATAAAGGGCTATATAGCTTAAAGACAAAGTCACTGAATTAAGTAGATTCATAAAGTTGTTTTAATTAAAAGGCAGAATCGAATTTCAAAAGGCCGAGTGGAAGAGATTTCCAGGCAGCAGAGGCTGCATGAATAGAAGTGCGAAGGCATATTTTAGCGAATAGCCAGTCATCCACTGAAACTAGGTATCTAGAATGAATTTAGCTTAACTAGTAGGCCATGGAGTCGATTTAAGAAGCCAGTAATAAAATACTTTTGCTATAGCTGCCTCAGGTACAGATGTGGAAGTGTTGGCAGGCTAAGGGTTCTGTGTTTTGATCGGGAAATTTCCAAGTGTGAGATCTTAGAAAGGATACAGCTGTGGCGTGACTGAGTGTATACTTTGTTACTGTGAACTCGATGCTCTTTATCTTAGAAGGGTGTTGATTTACAACCAGGGGCTGTGGTAGTGCTGTTGTCCTGTCTTGATACCTTTGCTCTCAGGGACTTATGGATTTATTGACTTGGTTGTACGTATGATTTTATATAGCTAATTTTCAGTTTTAGCTCTGAAAACATATAACTCCTTCTCGCTAAGGCTAAAAGCAAAAAAAAAAAAAAAAAAAAAAGACAAAAAACTCTAGGAAGATCTTGGGATGATCACTTGGGTCTTTCACATTAAACAAACAAATGGACCTGTTTGTGGATTTCTAAGACTAGACCATGCACTTATTGTTTCAGCTCCAATATTTTGAAAAGAGTTTGGAAGTCATCACTCCCATCCTTAGAGAGGAAAAAAAAAAAAACAAAAAAAAAAGAAAAAACGCCCAAACATTGCAATTCAACAACTTTTCTAGAACCCATCAGAGAACTAAACTCACAGGACAAACACACCAAAATGTGGAGAGGGAGGCAAATCTGCTTTCCTAGAGACATAGCCAATATCTGCTTTCCTAGAACAGGAGTCACATAAACTGGGGTCCTCATAACAACAGTGAATTATAACTGAGAGCTGCAAGAGTCAGACTCCCTTTCAGGAAGAATACTTAGGGAAACCCACGTCAGTAGAGGATACAAAAATCAAGGATGCTGGAGGAGTTGGAAGCCTCTGGTACCTACAGTAATAGCAAGAATTAAATAGAGCCCAACTTCTAAATTGATTAATAGACTACCTCACACTAAAAGCTTATTTCTCTCAGTGCCTATTATCTCCGACATTTCCAGCTTACAACAAAACACTACAAGGCCTGGGAAAACCAAGACAAAAATGCAGTCTGAAGAGACAAAGCAAGCATCAGAACCAGATTCAGATATGACACGGTTGTTGGAAATAATCAGACTAAGACAGTCGGTCATGCTTTGTCACTATTTGGCATTATTACTCATTCCTTGAGGTTTACATACCACAAATCCTGAATCATGTTTGAAGCACTAATAATTACAAAATAAGACTCTTAAAAGCCACAAGTATATGAATGAATGTACACACGTAGAAACATCACAGGAACCAAATTCAGACGTTCTGCAGAGAAATCACATACCTGCTTCCCTGCAGAACAGTTGTTATCTGAAGAAAAAGCCAACATCTCCCCGGAGAAGCCAGACTACTAAAGGTCTAGAGTATAATCCTGTAGAGTTTGCTGTCCTAAGCTATTTTCTCAAAAGTTGGGGTGGGGGAAGGTGTGGTGTAGAGGGGAAAGGGAAGGAAATGATGCATTTGGCATGTTGTAAAGCTAGATTTGTCATCACTTTCAATGGTTCAGAAACTTCAAGCCAATATAGTTATCAGCACATAGGAAAGGGTTTATATTTAATATTGTTTCCCCTGGAAACTTCCAGCCTTTCCAGCTAAGATTTGTCCTATTGCTCAGTTGTTTTGGTTCACTCTGATTTATTGCTGAGCTCATGAATCATTTGTCTCACCCATACAAGAAAAAAAAAATTCTTTGTATTGATTTCCCTTCTATATCAGTGGCTGTGTGTGGCTCATTAGATGATAACTTCAGCTGTAGGCTGTAAGCCTGAGAGTCGAGAGACTGATGTGCAGAGTACAATGACAGGAATTCAGGTTAGCATGCAACAGAGTTTCTATTTCCCCAGAGATACTTGTGTGGAAGACAAGGGAAATGCACTGACGTTATTAGCGATGTATTTAGAACAGCCAGTACTCCCACCCTCGGTTCCATTGTTGAACTGCCATTGTTATTTCCATAAAAATCACACTAGGCTGTTTCAAGTTTATACAAATGATTTACTTCCACACTTGCAAGAGTGAGAAATAGTTCTTTAAAACAAGCATTTATTTGAAAAAATTTTCAAACAGGTCCTATGGGGATACAGGATGGAGAAGGCAATCTAAGACCATTTTTTTTTTAATTTTTTTTTTCAACGTTTATTTATTTTTGGGACAGAGAGAGACAGAGCATGAACGGGCAAGGGGCAGAGAGAGAGGGAGACACAGAATCGGAAACAGGCTCCAGACTCTGAGCCATCAGCCCAGAGCCCGACGCGGGGCTCGAACTCACGGACCGCGAGATCGTGACCTGGCTGAAGTCAGACGCTTAACCGACTGCGCCACCCAGGCGCCCCCAAGACCATTTTTAAAAGCCTCAACATAATTATGGAAGCTTTTCTAAATGAAAAGACATGCTACTAAAGTCAACGTCATTCACAACTCCAAGTATGACAAATTTAAAGAATATTTATTTATTTAAAGTTTTTATTTATTTATTTTGAGAGAGAGAGAGAGCGTGAACAAGGGAGAAGCAGAGAGAGAAGGAGAGAGACTCAGAAGCAGGCTCTGTATTGCCAGCACAGAACCCAACACGGGGCTCAAACCCATGAACTGTAAGATCATGACCTGAGACAAAACCAAGAGTTGGACATGTAACCTACTGAGCCACCCAGGTGCCCCCAAGAATATGTGTTTAATTTGGGGATTTATTTTAGCCCTTTATTATCATGACCACATGCACAGTAATAACACTAATGATAATTTCATTGATTTAATACTGTCTTTGCCTTCATCTGACAATGAAGAGGTTGGTTTTTATTGGATTTCCTATTAGATAACCATCTGAAAAAATTTAAGATAAACCAAATTTATCTTTAGTTTTATAAAACTTTCTAAACATATCTCTGTCAAACATATGTGGTGAACTTCTTAATAGCAATTAGAAAGGAGTGGTTACTGGTTGCCAAAGAATACTTAACTAATTTTGTCCTAAAGCTATCTCAGTCTTAACTCCTTAAAGGTGCCTTGCAAGTCACATTCAATAGTGCCTTCAGTGATCAACTAGTCTAATTCCCCTAGGTTTCTCATGTACTGGATAAAAATCTAGAAAGATGCAAGTAAGATTTGCTTTTGATTAAACTACATTTCTTTTGGGTTCAAAAAAATTTTAAACTAGAGTCAATGGTGTGGTAATAACATACGTGGGTTTGGGAGTCTGAGAAATTTGGCTTAAATCTCTGCTCTAAAAATAAATTTTAACTTGGGGGCACCTGAGTGGCTCAGTTGGTTAAGCGCCCAACTTCGGCTCAGGTCGTGATCTCACAGTTTGTGAGTCTGAGCCCCGTGTCGGGCTCTGTGCTGGCAGTTCAGAGCCTGGAGCCTGCTGTGGATTCTGTGCCTCCCTCTCTCTCTGCCCCTCCCCTGCTCATACTCTGTCTCTCTCTCAAGAATAAATAAACATTAAAATGTTTTTTAAAAACTTAAGAAAAATAAAATTTACCTTGGGTCTGGACACGCACATAGCCTCCCTGAGCTCCGTGTTTTAATGAAACTTGGGGGCAGTTGCATAGTGCTGTGCTTGGTACATGATAAGGTGCTGCAATCCTCCTTGCCTTAATATGATGGTGTTCTTTTTGCTTGTTTGTTTTTTCATAAGCTTTGATTTTAAGGAGCTTTTCAAATGTGTGATTGATAATGAGGGAATTTGAAGGAGTTCACATCTGATGGATAGCTTCTATTTTCTCAGTGAAGTGGGAGCTTATCAAGACTGTATAGTGTAATGAAGATTGAAATGAAGGTTTAGAATAGCAATCGTGCCCCTGTCTACATGAGCTTTGTATCTTTACTATACGGCTATTGATGCTCTGGTTTCTCAGGATTTGGGGCACTCATGACTCTATAGTTTACCTAAGAAAACCACAGCCACATAGTTGGTGAGATGAAATCAATGCAAGTGGAAATCAGAGTAGAAATTATGCTTTCTTTATCGTTCACAGTGTTTTCACAAAGCTGACAAAGCATACTTTTGGAGGTAAGACATAGTGCTTACCACACTGTTATTCATTGTATTCATTCGTTCCCTCATTTATTTAGCAAACACAACCTGGCAGTTCATTTTTTTTCATCAATGAATAATATCCATTGTACCAGTTTGTTTACCCATTCACCTATCGAAGGACATCTTGGTCGCTTCTAGGTTTTGGCAATCATCAATAAACACGCATGTGTAGGCTTTGGTGTGGACGCAACTTTTCTATTTATCTGAGTAATTGCCAAACAGTGTGATTGCTGGGGCACACGGTAAGAGTATGCTCAGTTTTGTAAGAATCGCCAAAGTGTCTTCCGAAGTGGCTGTACCATTTTGCATTCCCACCAACAGTAAGTGAGAATTCCCGTTGTTCCACATCCTCACCAGGAAGAAACGGTATTGAGAGTGAGAATGGGAGCATATGTCAGAGGTGTCCGAGCACAATGAGACCAGGAGAGAAAGTAGGGGGCTTAGTAGCTGCATCAGGTAGAAAGGTAGTTAAAAGTGAAGAGCATGGGGGGCGCCTGGGTGGCTCGGTCGGTTAAGGGTCCGACTTCAGCTCAGGTCATGATCTCACGGTCCGTGAGTTCGAGCCCCGCGTCGGGCTCTGTGCTAACAGCTCAGAGCCTGGAGCTTGTTTCAGATTCTGTGTCTCCCTCTCTCTCTGCCCCTCCCCCATTCATGTTCTGTCTTTCTCTGTCTCAAAAATAAACGTTAAAAAAAAAAAAAAAAGTGAACAGCATGGGAGAGCTTGTCGGGAACGTGTCTAGGACAATAGTCTGTAACAATCCATATGGATGGATGAATGGAGAAAGCATTTTGAGGTCAAAGAGGTAGGAGAACGTGAAGAGTAAAGTCAGGGATGCTAAAGGGAGAGTTTACAAAAAAAGGGGCGGCTATGGGGGGCTTATTCAATTGCGTGTAGAAGTCGCTCGCAGAACACATAAAGGTTTTCAAGGTAGCCCACCAACACATAGATTCCAAGGTTGTTTACAAATTTTCCTAGTCCTCTGTCTATTTGAGCAACCAAGTCTTCAAGAAAAGCAAAAAGAATGGTAAAGCCCATATGCAAAAAGCCAATTCAATTTGATATAAATTCAAGTTCTATAATATTTAGTGTTTTTAGGTTAGAAATATTCTGCGTGAAGCGAAACTTGTAATGAGGACAGAGATCCGCTATTAGGTAATATGATTGCACTTTAAAGTAGAAATCCAATTTTACCCTTAATCTCATGATGCCTTGGACCGAAGATGTTTTTTTATCGTATCAAGGGGCCCTTGTATTGCTCTGTAGATTGATATTGTACAGCCTGCTACATTGCTGATTTTCATGGATGTGCTGTAGAGGTCTTGGCCCCAGGCAAACTGCATTCCTTTGAGGTTAACCCAAGTAGGGCTTTATGGAAAGCACTGTAAAAGGGACAATGGCCCCAGAGTAAATGCTTAGGGAGTCAGCTAGCTCACCACTTTCTAGGCAGCCTTAGTCCTCAACAGGCAAAAGCATCTCAAAGGCCACTGGATTCCAAACTATAAGAGAAAGAAATAAGAACATCCGGCTTATTTTTTTTTTTATTTTTTTTTTTATTTTTTTTTTTATTTTTTTTTCAACATTTATTTATTTTTTGGGACAGAGAGAGACAGAGCATGAACGGGGGAGGGGCAGAGAGAGAGGGAGACACGGAATCGGAAACAGGCTCCAGGCTCTGAGCCATCAGCCCAGAGCCCGACGCGGGGCTCGAACTCACGGACCGCGAGATCGTGACCTGGATGAAGTCGGACGCTCAACCGACTGCGCCACCCAGGCGCCCCTCAGCTTATATTTTTCATCATCTTTATCGTTTGTTTGTTGATCTTTCAAGATACTTTGAAACTACCAAGACGTAAAACACTACCTCTATATAATACCTTAAAACTATAGAATTTATCAAGTTTGGTTTAGATTTAGTGCCCGAAAGTGGATTGAAGAAAGCAAAGAACTCTACTAGGATCTTTCATTTTGAATATTCAAATGACCAATTCCTCAGTAATTGATACCATCAAATTGGTCAAATTAAGTAAATACCATGAACCTATTAAGATGAAAAATATGCATGTATGTATTTTTAAATATCAAAATGTATAAATATATGTCTTTTATAATATGCTTATTTCAATGTTCAATGTTTTAATTCATGGTGCATATTCTCATTTCAAATAAACATGGGATGAAGACACCAATAAGCATTCAACAGTCCTAGCCACAACGGTGAAATTTAGAAAAATTCAAGAAAATGACCTAAGTTTCTGCTATTTGGGATCAAAATCGCTATTTTATGGGATATGTAATTACAGGTTAGAAACCTCCATCTATACGTAATGAAAATGCCTTGCAAGTACAGG